CTGAATTCATTCAGAAGTTTATCCCTATCTTCCTTCAGCTCTATTATTACCTTGTTTGTGTGTTCTTTAAATTCAGTGAATTCTTTTATCATATTCATCATTGTTTTTTTGAGTTCCATGTCCTGCATTGTCTCTAGGGGATTCTCATTGTGCTCCTCTAGAGGATTACTGGTATTTGGTGGGGATATGTTATTTTGGTTTTTCATGTTATTATTTTTTCTCTGTGATTTTGACATGTGAATTTCTTTTGTAGTTTCTGACTCTTGTGTGATACTCGGGCCTTCAAGTTTAGTTCTGCTTCTTTTATTTTTGAGCTTTATGTGTCTTTGTGGTTTACTTTTTGGGTATGAAGAGCTGGTTCGTCTTAGCTTCTGGTTCTCTCTTTTGATTTTATATTGTCGAGGCCGGATTGATTTTGTCTTCAGGAGTTCCGCGGTGGCCCAACTCCAATGTGGATCAGAAGTTTTCAGACTTTCTCCTTAGGTCTGGAATCTTCTAAGAATGCTTTTGGCCTCAGGAACTTGGGTGGCACTGACCTGAGACCCTTGCCGTGGATGCGCCACGCAGGGAAGCAAAGGCAGATGGGGAGGGAAGAAGCCCCAAGATTTCCCAGGGAGTGGATTGAGTAGCTGGGTTGTACTGGATGCAAAGGGTCGGGGGGAGTAAAGGTAAGCCTCGGAGCCCTAGAAAGAGGCTGTCAGCCCCAGAAAGAGGCTGGCGGGTGTTGGAGGACCAGGGAAGTAGAGCGAGGTGAGGGCAGGGCCAGGACCAGAAGTGGTGCTCCTGGAGCCCAAGAAAGGGACTGAGTTGCTCTGGGTGAGAAGGGTCAGGAAGCAGTATTGGTTCCCCAGGTGTGTGGGGCCCCAAGACTAGGAATGGCGCAGGGCCCAAACTAAGAGTATAGAACGGCGAGGGGGGGTGATGGAAGGGTCAATGTGGCTTAGGGAGTCCCGGCGCGGAGAGCTGCGCTATAGACTTACCCCAAGAGGCCTGAGGATAGTAGTCAAGATAAATATTTTATCTTTGGGTACTCTTAATTTAACATACATAAATTCAAAGCTAGCATGCACATATGAGAGCTAGCATGCAATATTATCTTTCTAGATCTGGGTTACCACACCCATAAAAGTCAGGAAACTAATAAGGAGCCATGGGGGTGGAGTTTTACATGGGATGGGGATAGCAGGTGGTTTTGAAGGGGGAAAGGGGAATAATGGAATAGGAAGAGTTAAATGGGATGAGGGATAGACAGGAAGGGTAAAAGAGGGTGTACAGGGAGGGATAACCAACAATACAAACTTTTAAAAAGCCATATGGAAACCTTCTACTGTAGACACTTCCTAAAATATATACATGTATATATACAAGCTGTTGGTCAATGGGTTCCCACAGATCACCTTCCCAATATTACAGTCTATGGGCATTGTTGTTGGTTACCCTCCAGAGCTTGATAAAATTCTATTGCTGAAGACATCACATACATGAATCATAGGACATGGAGAAATCAAGCTGGTACCCATCTGAAAGCTTCATTCCTACTGGCTAACATCCACAGTGCTGAAAGGCACTATATATACTACCAAGGAAGAAAAGTCATAGACAGTCTTACTCAGCTGTGAACCCTGTGAACTACAATAATGATGGTCTGGCAAGACATGCCCACTGGTGCAACAGTGGCACAAATGCCATGGGTATGACCAACCACTTTCTGGTTGGAATTAAGGCCTGCTCTACAAGATGGAACTCATGCCTGGTACTGTTAACTGGGCCCAAAACCCATGGTTGGCTAGGTTACAGGACTTAGGGGAGAACTAGAATACTATTATTCTGCTAAAAGTAAATAATAAATTGCCCCTAAGTTCTTTATACTCACAGATTAGTGCATTTCTCAACTCTCATCAGAGAAGCTTCTTTTTGAAGATGGTGATTAACACATAGACCTATAACTGGTCAACATGCATAAAATAAGACTGTGGAGTGCTCAGTTCTAAATTCGACATCTATATCACACCCCTTCCCCTTAAAGCTCAGGGATCATTAAGAAAGAGGGGCAGAAAGATTTTAAGAGCCAAAGGTAGCGAACATCTGTAGTTAAACAGTATTTGCTGGGCATGACAGGGTTATTGCACACATGAACTCATAGCAGCTATGACTATATGCACAAGAACCTGTACAAAATCAAGCCAGCCAAAATCCCAGCATGGGTGGGGAGGGGTTCATGAAGTCCTCCTCCTAGCTGAGGACTTATTGGTAATTGATGGCTTCCAGAGGAGGGAAAGTCAGCTCTTCAGAGATACAGTCCCTAAGCAGCTAACCATGCTCCAATAGATGGTCCTACCCCATGCACAGAAACGCAATACTAAGTGGACTCAGTAGGTTTAAAAAAAAAGAGCACATGAAGTTAGAGGGGTAAAATGGTTGGGGGACAGGGTTCAAAGAATTGAAGGGGAGGGAGTAGAAGTGGGTTTGATAAAAATATAGGCATGTATGAAATTATCAAACAATAAAAATGTAATTAAATTTTTTGTCTTTTTGAGGCAGGGTCTCCCTGTAGCTTCAGCTGTCCTGGAACTCACTATGTAGACCAGGCTAGCCTTGGAACTCACAGAGATCCAACCTGACTCTGCCTCCTGAGTGCTGGGACTAAAGGTGTGTGCCATTGCGCCATTTTTAAAAAAATAAAGCCAAGTGTGGTGGTACACGCCTTTAATCCCAGCATTCTGGAGACACAGTCTAGTGGATCTCTGTGAGTTCAAAGCCAGCCTGGTCTCCAAGAGTAGTCAGTGCTCTTAACAATTGAGTCATCTCTTCAGCCCCAATTATGGAGCTTTTTATAAGCTGTATGTAGACATTTATATTCTTTTTACTATAATCTTAAAATTACCCAGTTCCAATGAAGTACGAGGACATTGTCTCTGAAAAATACAAGCAATTTGTAATGTGTGATAATATTATACATGTACATCTCTGGGACATTTTCTTTATGAATACAGAACAAAATTTAGCATTTGTACTCAAAATTATTTGAAAATGATAACTTCTGTGAAATACTACTCTTCACTGAATATTAAATGTAATATAATGTTGCCTTCTATTTCAAAAAAGGACAGAGGTTATACACCATACTATTTAGTACAGTTCTAGTGAAATTTTCATAAGTAGTATTTGTATTAAGAATAAATTATAGCCAGGCGTGGTGGCTCATGCCTGTAGTCCCAGTACTTGGGAGGCAGAGGCAGGCAGATCTCCGTGAGTTCGAGGCCAACCTGGTCTACATAGTGAGTTCCAGGACAGCTGGGGCTACAGGGAGACCCTGCTT